CCCCCAAAACCCCAAAACCCCAAAACCCCTGGTCCTACATAAGTATAGAAAATCTTTTAGTTATAAAATTATTATTATCTCAAGAATGGAGCTTCCTGTGCAACAACAAGAGCTGAATCAAAACCTGTTTGGCCTCTGGTACCTCACCAGACCCCAGAAAAAGTTAATGAATGCTTGAACTTTCATAATACAGTTCTTTATTATATTAGGATTCTTCATTCTCGAAGAATCGAACATCCTGATGCTCATTATGACATCAATGATGCTCTATGGCATGAGGTTATGGTGGATCTGGTGGTGCGAACCCACAGATGCATTACCTTGGATCCATATCAGAATCCGGGCATCAAGCATCTTGCTTATAGCCAGTGAGGTTCTGGCAATATCCCATTTCCTAACAGTGATGTTTGTTAGAAAGGAGACTTCTCTCATATACAAACTACTGGTGACCTACTTTGTACCAATTATTGGATTATTGTTGAATCTGATCAACGGAGTCAGACTCCTTAGGCTCTGGTATGTCTACTATCGGATTACTAAAACCATCCGCAGAAGGATGAGGCATGAAGACCAGGTCTTCAACACTGTCTTCGCTGCACGCGAAGGCTACAGCGAAGCTAGGCAAGAAATGGAGGCTGCAGGAATCGATCCTTCCGAGTTAGATGAAATTCAAAGGATGGAGGTCAGAAATGTCCGTAGAGCCCTCAGCCATTTCGGGAGCAGGGCTTTACAAAACATCAACATGATGAGGATGATCTTCAACATTGATGGTGACCGTGATCCTGACGATACTGAAGAGAATAGGATTATCCTCTTTACCAAAATTACTAGCTTGCCCTACAACAAAGAGAAGCATGGAGAACATGAGTCTTGCACTATCTGTTGTTCAGAATTCATTGAAGGGAAATACATTAAGATGCTTCCAAAATGTTCACATATCTTTCACGAAGACTGCATCGAAGGATGGATTCTGAAGGCAAAACACCGTATGATCTGTTGCCCGATATGTAGAACTAACATAAAGGAAGAGATTGACATCGAGGATCAACAGAATGCCATCGAGGCAGAAACCAATGAAGACTCTAAGAGTCCTGAAATGTCTGAAGGGCAGCTAGGTGCCACAGAATCCAACCTGCTAGATCTGACTGAGGTTGCCTCACAAAATGTGCCATAAAGTTACTAAAACTTCTTTCTTAAAAATTTGATTATCTTTGTTTCATTTAGTTTGTGAAAAGTTCCAAAGTGAGCTGGGAATCAGAAATTTCGGATAATTTAGATTTAATTACTCTGAAGATACCAGAAATAGCAGCCATGCTTCTTTTCAGTATTATCAGACTGTAATTTCGCCAAACAGGGCCAAATCTGACCAAAACATCTTATATAACTGCTATGAATGATTTTAGTGCAATTTTAGCTTTTAAAAGGCATGAAATATTTCTAAAACCAAATTGAGATTCTCCAAACAAATTTTATGTGTTCACCAAGTATCAGTAGATTTCCTCTAGCCCTACTAAATGAGGTCAGCACTTGGGATAACAAAATCTGACATCTAGCAAAGGTCCGTAAAGTTGGAAAATAATTGACCAATCTCCATTTTTCTAACTTAGGCCGTCACAATTATGATTAATCCTTTTGGGGTTTTGGGGTTTTGGGGTTTTGGGGTTTTGGGGTTTTGGGGTTTTGGGG